ATAAGTTACTTTATTACGTTGTGTTATCATAACAGGCAGGTTAAATACGTAAGTAACAAATAGATGTTTCGCGAGGTTTTGATTTCCCTCAACAACTTCTCATGAACGTTGCAATTACGTTGTATGGTAATGTTATTACGTTAACTTAAAACAACATCGCCGAAAGGCTTGGCAACGTTATGTGCTAGCTGGGAACTAAACAAAAACTTAAATCTCAAATTGAAAAATTCATAGTTGCCAAGGTATAGATATATAATCTAACTTCAGTCTGGAAAGCATTTTTCATGCCAGCCACCTACTAGCTTTAATGAGAAATGCCTTTTATCTATTAGTTTTCATTTTAAGTAATTAAAATGGTTATAATGTTTAGAATTTCAGTTAAAAGTTATTTTATTTACAAAAAATTAAAATAAACCTTAAGCTTCTGGCAAAATTGTTACAATTTAACACTGAACGAATTACATTACATTAACCAATAATTAACAAGGTGGATTGATTATATATTGTTAATGGGAATGAACTTTTTTTAATCTCTTGGTATTAGTACCTAAAATCAAAGATTAAAAAAATATAAAGTTCAGGAACTATCTTTAAAAGTCTTTATCTTCACTACTACTGGTATCATTATCATTGTCTTTTTTGAGGTTTATTATTATAGGGTCTATTAAGTTTTCCATTGCTATATCAACTTTCTAAAATGAATTTTCCACTTTTTTAACGTTGTCAATGCATTTTCTCTAATGTTCTCCATTTACATCTGAAACTACTTTCAAAAAGAAATTTCGCACATCGGGTAATTTAAATCAACATTTAACATATCAATAGTTTTATCAAAGTTAACTAAATTATGTGTAATTTCACTAAATTAGATGTAATAATTTTCAATAAATTTCAAAACCTAGTTAATCTTAAGTTGGCTTGGTCTGTTGTACGTTGTTTATTATGGGCGTACAATCGCTTACACATATATTGATTGATAAAATTGTTTTGTAGAGCCGTTACATTCTTCAGTATATCCCTTCCTATACTTCGCACCACATATCATTTCTCTCCATCTATAACTGGACCGAATCGACACAGGTATCGATGTCAGCGTCACGAATATTATATTTTATTAATGAATGGCTGTATCTCATGTTATCTCTTGTATTAATATATACAAAATAAAACGTAAAGGCATTCTTATCAAAATGATCCTCACACAATAGTTTTCTTTTAGATTTGTAGGGAATATTAAAAATATTAAGCCATTGCTTTCTCAGTAATAATAGATAAACACGTAAAAATAGTTATTTATGCAACAAGTGTGTAAAGTTACCCTTTTTTGACGAATGTGAATGTTGTCGCACGAGCCGTAGGCGAGTGCGACAATCACATGAGTCAAAAAAGGGACTTTACACACGAGTGGCATACAATAGTTTTTCTACTACCGTACACATTGTGACACCCTTTTCTTCGTCTCTAAAAATAAAGAAAAGGGGTTGGGGTGGCGCTAAGCTGTTCTTCGAACAAGGGTTGCTCAGGCGCCAGTTTTGGTAACGCAGTCTACTCTGCGGCCCTGGGGTGCACTTAGAGTACACCCTCAGCAGACTCAGTGGAGTCCAGGTACAAACAAAAAAAAATAAATAAATAAAACGGTCAGAGTTTCACTATTTAGTTGACCTACACTGGGGTAATACACTAGCGCAACTTACAGGAAAAAGAGAGCCCTCTCATCGAAAACATCTGCTTTTATCAAAAGTCTTACTTTTGCCGGAGTGGGGACGGTAGTCCCTTCTTTTCTGAAATATGTTGTTTCGCAAAAAAAACTTAATTGATCAGCTCACTGATAAACCTACTAGAATCGCTGTTTTACGATTTAATTTAATGTATGGTGATATTGAAAAGTTTTAAACTACGAGGGCTCTTGCAAAGGTTTAAAAACGGTAATTCTATGGAAATATTAATTACAAGGGGTCTTGCAAATGTTCATAGACGGAAATTAATTTTAGAAATTAATTTATGGAATAAATTAATGGGAATTTTAGTGACTTCGTCACAACATAATCCACTAATATTAGAAATATAAAAGTTACTTTTTTTCGCTAGTGAAAAAAAGTACTTTACTTTACGCACTAGTGAAAAAAAGTAAAATGTGTCAAAAATTGTACACAGCAACAAAAATAAATCTATTGGAACTTTACAAATTTATAATTCTTACAGAACAAAATGACTAACAAATGAAGAAATATTTAAAAAAATAGGTTTTTAACTCTTATGAATATTAATATTGAATGTGCAATTATTGCAATTACCAAAACTTAAGGTTTTGGCCTTTTCCAGCACAGAGTTTGAAAAATGTTATGATATTACTTCTGTAACCCTATTTTGAGCTTCGAGTAGTATGGATTTGGTCTTTTCAAGTAAAGAGGTTGAAATATTTTGTGTAACTCTAGTTTCACTGTCGAGTGGTTCCACTAATTCTTCATTAGAGTTATCAACGGTAAAATTGTACCTTTGTTTGGAAGTGGATGGCATACTGTCATCCATCAAAATTTTATTAGAAATTTTGTTTTTTTGTGTTACTGTGCTGTCTACGTAGCCTTCTGCAACAGCAAATGATTTCCATCCTCCATGTTTTTTGACCGTTAGAAGGTCTCCTCCAGAATTTGCCGGCATAGTGGCTGAAGACCTCCTAAATCAGTGTCCTGTAAAAGCCGTTGGATTGGGCAAAATTAGATACGTTGCTGTAACACTTGGCATTTTACCAAAAGTATTTATCCCTACAGGCTGTTTAGAATATTTTCCATTTGCGAATTTAAAAAAAAATCTGTTACAATTTATATTTGATGGTCTTAATGAGGTATATTTTTTTATGAAAGATAAATAATCAACTGCAGAATTATTTGGATTTAAAATCTTAAAAATGCGTTCTATTCCATTTTTGGTTTCTGATACTTTGACAATATACACTGTTTGTTTATCTTCCACATCGTTAATTGTCATTTTACATAATTCTGCTCGGCGACAAACTCCCGCAATTCCAATTATAAAAGCTACCTAAAAAATAACATATTGCAATGTTACAAATAATTTATTAAACATTAGGAAATATCTTGACGTTGCGCATGTAAAACTCCAAATAAATGCTATTGTAAAAAATATAAAAGTTTTAGGTACAATGTGCTGCCTAATAACCCCGGTGGCCTGTTAGGACAGCAACTGATTTTGTTAAGCAAAACACCATACGAACACTCATCTCATTGCAAAACTTTACAGAATATTTTAATTTTATACTGAGCATTCAAGCATTTACTGAGGCATTTACTTACTTTGATCATTAAAAACTTGGAATCTGGAGGTTTCAACAGAAAATTAATTAGATCTTCTCATTTAAAAATTTTGGATTTTTTTGGTTTATAACCTTTATTTTTTTGTTTGAGAAACGCTATTAACTTGTTGAATTTCGAAATAACAACGTTGTTTTTATAGGGTAGAAGCTTTGCAATTCTTCAATTCATCAGAAAAATATGTTAAAATAACGTTTTCCGAATATTTTGTCACCTTATTCTTCCTACACCATTCTATAAATGCATTGTATTTTTGATGATAAATATATGCAGATTTTTCTGGCAATAAATTTTCAGTGGCCTTTTGTGCACTGCATAAGATATCTGGGGGAGTATTATCAAATTCGCTATCGCTAGATAAATTTGAATCCATATCGATTATGACAGATATAATAAACTGCAAATAAAATTTGAATTTAAGTAAACAAACATTAAAAAGTAAAACTTTTTACCTTCTCAAACTTGATTGAGTTTAAAAAAATGCTAAATTGGCTTTAGAATCTAATCTTGAACTTAAGTATACGTTTGTCGTGTTCTGTTATAAGGTAGGTACTAATTAAAAGTTTAAAGATTGACAGTTCTTCTAATCCACACAGCCACGGCCAACTTACTTTTACCAAAATCGACATCCACTATATGTTTACTTTTAATTAAATCGATGACATTTAGAGAAAATTATAATTAAAATAAACTGTTGATAATTTGTTGGACACTAAATAGATATAAGCAAAAATAATTTATTTATTTGTCTTAGAAGGAGATAGCAAAAAATGTTAATTTAATATAAAACGTTATATTTTGTTGTTATGTACAAATTTTGTCAAATTTTACTTTTTTTAACTAGTGCGTAAAGAGTTTTACTCTACGCACTAGTGAAAAAAAGTACAACTTTACACACTTCGTGGAGTGCGTAAAGTACGTACTTTACGCACGGAAGTAGAAAAAAGTCTTTATAAGTTTCTCTACAAAATAAGAATTTGTTTCTGCGATTAGGAGCAGAACATGAAAATACAATTTTATTTCAAGTTAATGACATCCTTAAGAACCTCAAAATATTTTTACAGCTATAAATTATTAAAATCTAACATGAACTATAGTAATTAAAATTAATAAAATTTCATTTGCCTTTATTTTCTGTTAAAAAAATCTGACTGTCATGTTTTAAGGAACCATAACCTAATTTACACCACCCCATAATATTTTAATTTGGGTTTAATATTGTAAATTTATAACGATTATCCTTGAAATTGATCATATATTAAAGTAAAGTAATATTTAAAATATTGCATTAATAAAATTATTGATTTCTATATCATTTTCTTATTATTATCTTTTATTGTTCGTAGTACCGCGACTTGCTTTATGTTTAACTACAAACAAGGAAATAAGTTTCACCTATAATTCAAACCATCTTCTTTTATTGACCTATGGTACTACTTGTCTAATATATTTTATCTGTGAAATGTAATTCCTTCTTTTTTTACGGCTATAAGCTGAACACTCATTTAAATAACTTTTTATAAATACACAAATTAAAGCACAACTTCTCTGACACCAAAAAAATGGCGGCCGATCGATATGTGGTCGCAATCCTATGCATCTGTCTGAAAGAAAAGTTAGGCATCCCTCTATTCTTAATTTAATTGTAATATGAACATTTTTATTTTGCAGGAAAAAATGAGCGACTCGCTTCCTGATCGTATCTCAGAAATCTTCAATGGCAGTACCATTTTCATCACAGGTGCTACAGGACTAGTTGGAAAAGCACTGATAGACAAGATACTTAGATACTGTGATATCAAAAAAATATACATTCTAGTTCGAGAGAAGAAAGGAAAATTGCCGAATGAACGTGTCAAAGAATTATTTAGCAATGTAGTAAGTATAATATTTATAATAATATAAATAATTATCTAGCAAAAATACGCAATCAAAAACTTAATTTTAAAAGAAAAAACAAAAAATGCAAACGGAAGCCATATAATAATTATATCATGATATTTATTTACAAATTTTAAATTTCAGCTATTCAAAAAGCTTCTAGAATTAGACCCTAACGCACCTCAGAAAGTTACTGTAATACCGGGGGACGTGACTGAATTAGACTTGGGCATATCTGAAGAAAACAGAGCTATACTGATCAAAGAAGTAGATTATATTATTCACAGTGCAGCTACCGTTAGATTTAATGATAGTTTAAAATATGCTGTGACGATGAACACCAGAGGAACCAAATTTGCTTTAGAACTAGCAGAACAATGTGAACATTTAAAAGTAAGTACAAGGCCATTCGATATTATTACAAAAAAGCAGTAGGTACCTATTGTAATTTTAATTATTTTTAAGTTTGTATATTATTTTTTTAATTTATTTTAAATTAGTAATAGTATATTATACATTTATACACGAAAGGACTGAAATGGCATCCAAATATTCTAAATCATCCAAAAGAATTCAAAGACTATAAAATATTGAGATCAATAACCAATACACCATCGCATTACAGAATAACCTACAAGTTCATTTTATCACAACTTAAATAAAAATATGTTCAATACTATATCACAAATGACTACAAGACATGAAAAATCAATATACAGGGTAAATCCCAAGTTGATACTTTTTTAACTTTAGGTATACATAAAATAAAATAATTTTAGCATTTGTAAGTAAGGTTCAAAACTTTTAACTTTGTACTTTGTACAAACTAGCCAAAAAAGCTGAAATCTACCAAAAAGTAGAAATCTACTAAATGTGGCAACGTTGGATCAGAGTGACCCAACCAAGCGAAACTTGTTTGTTTTTTCATTACAATTGTACATTTTGTTTTATGTCATTACGTCATTACTACAATTAAGGTGTCCAGAACACGTGACCCTGGCCCTTCAAAAATGGCGACATATAGACATACAAACATATAAATTAGGGGAGTTTGAACACAAATATATCATGTTTATAGAACTCCTGACATTATGACGTCATCTTTGGATCAACCTTGTTACCTGAACATTGGGATAGGTAGCTTTGATGTAATGGTGACGGACAATAGCACTTTTGGGATAGCTATCAAAGTTTGGTATTTATATATGCAATAAAGAGCTTCAATATTGGTGACCCCGACGAAAAATGACCAAACACGCAGATGTAGCCAAAGATACTTTCCGCGCCCCACCATTTTGGCCCGAAAAACCAGCTCTTTGGTTTTGTCAACTGGAAAGCCATTTCGTATTTAGTTGCATTTCCAAAGATGAGACCAAGTTTGCTTACGTAGTATCTCAGTTCGAAAGTAGATACGCTGCAGAAGTCGAGGACATCATCACTAATCCTCCAAAAAAAGACAAGTATGACGTACTTAAGAAAAAAGTCTACGGAAAACTTTAATAAGGAACTAAATATAATTAAAACTATTGCTATAGATCACAACTTTGAACTAGATATTATTGATAAAATGCTAACACATAAACAAAATAAAATTCAACAAAACTTAGTTTATATTAACAATCCTAATAAGGTACATGAACTAACCACCAGTAAGAAATACATTTCTCTTCTTTATTGGAAAAGCATCCTATAAAGTGGCAAGCTTACTTAAAGACCACTTTAAAGTATCTTTCAAAACCCCCTCCTCATTACATAAGTTATTTGTTCATAATAAAGATAAATTAGATCCCTTTGACTTATCTGGAATTTATAAATTAACTTGTAAATCTTGCCATTCTTTCTATGTAGGACGCACATTTCGAAATTTCAAGATCCGTTTAAAAGAACATTTGCGTTGTCTTAACCAAAATACAACAGGTTTTTCACATTTTGCCAACCACCTACTGGACTTAAATCACGACTTCGATTCAACTGAAGGTTTCGAAATCCTACATAGTTCCTACCATAGATTTACTCTTAATAGCTTCAAAAGCCTCGAGATATTGAGAAATTTAAAATTAAATCCTGTTGGTTGCTTAAATGCCCAGATAATGTCAGAAACTCCTCCTGTTTTCTCAACACTAATCTAAATTTATCTTTCTAACTTCCTTTTTAACCTCCCCCTTTATTTCTATTCACCTTGCAAGGGGTACATTTCAGTAAGTAATTTTTTTCCCATAAGAAACCAACGAGCACGTTTAAAGATTAGGTTGGATTGTGTGATTTCACATCCGTCATTTTCTTCTTTTCTTCTTTTATTCTTCAGTTGCTTTACAACAGTTAACCCAGTCAATTCTTCTTCTTTTTTCTTCCTACAACATCACATACACTTGGTGATTGGTTCAAGGCCAAAATCTTATATAATAAATAATAAATATTTCTTCACTCATAGTTTACATCTTATTACCTATACCCTGTCATGGGTTTACCCAAGAATTTTTTTGTTAATACTTGCCACCACTTGTAGAGGCCTTAACTTGACAGGTCTCCTTTCAAAAATGTTAGTTTTTTGAAAAAACAAGGTTGTTTAAAATAAGCCTTATCTTTTAATCTGTTTAATGTATGTGATTTGTTTTGTATAGTCTTGAATATTTTAAATTTTACTATTTCAATTGACTAATATTTGTTTTTCAAATATTTTTAACTTTTTATTACTTGTAAACTTTGTTCATTTTACAATTTATTTCACCCCACATTTGATGAAACTTGTTTTGTAGTATTCCCTAGTGGATGGAGAGTATGGTGAATTTTCTCTTTTTTACTATTTTATATATCGTTTGCTCTAAGTGTTAACACACCTTACACCACATATTCTCCTTTCCACTAGGCGAGCCTGAAGATGAAGTGATGACACTTCGAAACCGGTCGCACTCAATGTTTTGTTAAATAATTAAACATTGACTTTCTTTGTGAGATATAAAGGACTTTTTCTCCCCCTTCACCTTAAAAATAAGAAAAAATTGATTCAGAGGCTATCAATTTCAGAAGAAGAGAGAATTTAAAGGTTATTAGGTCAAGAAGAGTTTGGCGATCGGAAACCTTCACAATTTCTCGGACATTTGCGCAGCCTGACAGGTAATATTATTTCCGATGCATTTTTACGTACATTATGGTTAAGTAGATTACCAGCAAATGTAAAAGCAATTCTCGTAACACAGAGTGTGCAATCTCTAGAAGTTGTAGCTGAATTATTAGACAATATATATGAGACTACTCCATTTACACAGGTAGCTTCTAAAGTTAATACTCCAAATGAAATTATTGAGCTCAAACAACCAGTGAGCAAATAAACGAGTAAGATCAATGATTTTATGTCAGAAAAGCTTACTAGAGACCCTAGTAGATGGACTAGTATACATAGCAGAAGCAACAGTAGCTATTACTTGTTGGTATCACAGAAGGTTCGCTTCTAAAGCAATAAAATGTATACCTCCTTGTAACTTCTATCACTCATCACATTGTCGATCTCAATCGGGAAACTTTTCAGGCGGTCACGCTTAACGGCGGCAACGGACTGTCTCAACCTTTCACTCCGCCTTCTTTTAACTGAAAAAAATCCAAAATTCAATATCTTGTTGACACTGGTTGGGATTTATCGGTTTTTCCATATTCGTACAATAAAACTGGACGAGAAAAGTCCAACTATCAACTGTTCGCTGCTAACGTTTCGATTATTAATACTTATGGCCCTATTACTATTTGTTTAGATTTTGATTTGCGCAGAGAATTTGTCTGCAGATTTTTCATGGCTGACCAAGCCATAAAGCAGTAGATTTTCTAGCTTATTTTAATTTGTTGGTCGATATTCGCAATAAACGTGTTGTTGACTCGCTGACAGATCTATTATCTTTAGGAACCTACTGCGAACAGAATAAAGATCTCACAATTAAATCTATAAGTAGCGGTACTTCTGAGTATCACAAACTTCTTACTGCATTTCCTGAAATAACCAAGCCGGAAGGATTCTTGAAAGAAACTAAGCATACCACGTTTTCAGGAGAAAAATTTCAAGCAGCTAAGCATGAATTTGAGGCAATGGTTAAATTAGGAATTGCTCAACGATCTGATAGTTCTTGGGCTTCGCCCCTTCATTTGGTTCCAATAAAAAACTAGAGAATGGCGTCCGTGCGGGGATTACCGCTCACTTAATGCTCGTACAATCCCCGACCGATATCCTTTACGACACCTGCATGATTTTTCCCAAAACCTTCGTGGCAATATTATATTTTTTAAGATAGATTTAGTCAGAGCTTATAATTAGATCAAGGTAGCTCCAGAAGACATTACCAAAACTGCTATAATAACTCCCTTTGGTCTATTTGAAATCACTCACACGATATTTGGTTTAAGAAATGCAGCACAAACATTTCAGAGATTTATGGATGAAGTTTTAAAAGGTCTCGATTTCTGTTATGTTTATTTGGATGATATTCTTATAGCTTCATCTTCAAAGGAACAACACTACAATCATTTTAAAATTGTTTTTGAAAGATTAAGAGATTACGGTATTGTTATTAATGTCAATAAATGCTTATTTGGTGTTACGGAAATTTAATTTCTAGGATATTCTTTATCAGCAAATGGAATTAAACCATTGGAAACAAAAGTTCATGCATTGCAACAGTTTCGAAAGCCTACAACGATTAAACAGCTTCGTCGATTTTTGGGTATGCTAAATTTTTATCATCGTTTCCTTAAAAGCACGGCTTTTGACCAAATTCCCTTGAACAAATTACTGAGTGGAAAGGTGAAAAGGTTCTGATTTGATCGTCTGGAATAACGAACTTACACTTGCTTTTGAAAAGTGTAAACAGGGCCTATCACAAGCAGTTCTTCTATCCCATCCGGATAATACAACTCAGTTGGCTATATTAAGTTACGCTTCCAGCACTGCAATTGGTTCTGTCCTAGAAAAATAAGGAGTGGCAACCTCTGGTATTTTTTAGTAGAAAACTATCTCCAGCTCAAATCAAATATAGGGACCGTGCGTCATGACTTTAACGCTAACTGGTGACAAAAATGTGAACTTTTTGGGGGGTATTTATTAATGTTTTATACGGCATTTATTGTTTAATAATTATTAATAAAATGAAGTCGAATTATTTTCGTAATATCAATATCGAAAAAACTTGTTGCATCCGTGGATGTACAAACACATCACTTTAGAAACCTGGATTTCATTCGATAGTAAAGAAATTTTATAAATTTCCACAGAGCACAATTATGCCTCACACCCAATGATATACATAATTACAAAGATTGCTTATCCATATGTAAATCAGACGACGAAAAGCGTATTTCACTGGGCAAAGTTTTCTTTTTATCTAGCTTGTATCAATTTTGAGCACTTAGTT